AAGACAGGGTGGCCACCCAGCCGCCACTGGGTCTAGCTTTTTAGAAAGGTATGCCACTGGACGCCTCCAGGGCCCTAGTTTTTGTGTAAGGACCCCTTTAGCATATCCTTGCTTTTCATCAAGGAAGAGTTCAAATGGTTTAGTCAAATCTGGCAATCCTAGGGCCGGAGACTCGAGGAGGGCTAGCTTGATACTTTCAAACGCCAACTGCTGCTGCTCTCCCCATGTGAAATTGCTGTCTGATTTGGTCAGGGGATATAGTGGGGCTGCTTTCTCAGCGAAATTGGGAATCCATAGTCTGCAGAATCCGGCTGTTCCCAGAAACTCCCTTACTTGCCTATGGTCCCGAGGGACTGGGATACTGGAGATGGCCTCCTTATGGGCCTGGGTTAGCCATCGTTGCCCCTCTCTGAGCCTATACCCCAGATAAGTCACTTCCTGTTGGCAGACCTGGGCTTTCTTTGCTGAGGCTCTGTACCCGAGTTTTCCCAATTCCTGGAGGAGGTGCTCCGTACCTGTTAGACACTCCTCTCTTGTAAGAGCGGCGAGCAGGATGTCATCTACGTACTGTAGTAGGACCAAGTTGGTGTGCTGGGCCCTGAAGGTGGTCAAATCGTGGTGGAGGGCCTCGTCAAACAGGGTTGGGCTGTTTTTAAAGCCTTGTGGTAACCGGGTCCAGGTCAGTTGTCCTGAAATACCTATCTCAGGGTCCTTCCATTCGAAGGCGAAAAGGGGTTGACTGGCAGGGCTTAACCGCAGGCAAAAGAAAGCATCTTTTAAATCCAGGACTGTATACCAAACATGAGTAGGAGGGAGGGTGCTCAGCAAGTTATATGGGTTTGGGACAGTCGGGTGGATGTCCTCTACCCGCTTGTTTACTTCCTGGAGGTCTTGCACCGGCCTGTAATCTCCCGTACCAGGTTTCTTAACTGGGAGCAGGGGGGTGTTCCAGGGGGACTGGCACTTGGTGAGAATTCCTTGTTCTAGGACTCTTTTGAGGTGGGGCTTAATACCTTGATAGGCTTTAGCTGACAGTGGGTATTGTTTGATCACCACTGGGCTGGCTGTAGTTTTTAGTCCAATGACGAGGGGAGGCTGATTCATCGCCAGTCCCATCCCCGCCGTTTCCTCCCATGCCCCGGGAAATTTGGACAACCAACCTTCTATATCGGGAGAGGGTTTATTTTTCTCTTCGAACAGTCTATATTCATCCTCCAGCCGAAGAGTGAGCACCTGGAGAGGGGCTCCCCTAGACGTGGTCACAACTGCCCCCTTATTTTTGAAATGAATGTGGGCCCCTAGCTTGGTCAGGAGGTCCCTTCCCAGGAGTGGGTAAGGGCAATCCGGCACGTGTAGGAAAGCGTGGGTCACTGTACCTGTGGCCAGTTGCACTTCTCGGTTGGTAGTCCATCGGTATCGATTGGCTCCAGTTGCTCCTTCAACCCATGACGTCTTTTTGCTGAAGGGTCCGGTGGTGTGGGTGAGAACCGAGTGCTGGGCACCGGTATCTACCATGAAGGTAACTGGCTTGCCCCCCACTCGAAGAGTTACCCTGGGCTCAGGTGGGGGGTCCTGGCCCCGACCCCCCTAGTCGAGGGTTAGGAGAGTGGACTCTCTTGTTCTTGATTTCTTTTTAGGGCAATCTCTTGCCCAGTGGCCTTTCTCTTTGCAGTAGGCACATTGGTCACTGTCTAATGGGGCCCTGCCTCTGCCTCCCTTCCTATCTCCTCTGGACTCTTCTTTGTCTCTCACTACAGTGGCCAGTATCCTGCTTAATTCCTTGTTTCGCCTCCTGTCTCTTGCATTCTCCCTATCTTCTGCCTCTCTCCTTTGCCTTTCCTCTCTTTCTTCTTGAGTTTCTCTTTTATTATAAATTCTCTCCGCTTCCCTGAGTAGATCTTGTAACCTCTGTCCCTGCAGATTCTCCATTCTTTGGAGTTTCACCTTAATGTCAGGGGCTGACTGCCAAATGAAAGACATAGAGACACTCACTTCCTGCTCAGGGCTATCTGGATCGAAGGGAGTAAACCTCCGATATGCTTCCTTTAGTCTCTCTAAGAATACCGTCGGCACCTCATCTTGCCCTTGTACTACTGATCTTACCTTGGCCAAATTGGTGGGGCGTCGCCCCGCTGCTCGGAGGCCCGCTGTGAGCAACTGGCGATAAAGGCGTAGGTGTCCCCTACCTTCAGGTGTGTTGAAGTCCCAATCTGGTCTGGTCAAGGGAAAGGCAGCTTCTATCTCGTTGGGCAGCTGGGTAGGTCTCCCATCCGCCCCAGGAACCTGCTTGCGGGCTTCCAGAATAACCCTCTGTTTTTCTTCTGTCATGAGGAGAACTTGGAGAAGCTGCTGGCAATCATCCCAGGTGGGCTGGTGGGTTAGAAGAATAGACTCTAGGAGGTTAGTTAGGGCCACAGGGTCTTGGGAGAAGGGCGGGTTATGTTGCTTCCAATTATAAAGGTCAGAGGCAGAAAAGGGCCAGTACTGGAGTTGGTTGCCTGGCCCTGGTCCCACTCAGAGGGGAAGTATGTGAGAAGACTCTCCTCCTTGACCCTGGCCATCTCTCAGTCTTCCTGCGATCGGGGAGGGCGCCCCAGTGCCCTGGTCTACGTCCGATACTCCCCCGACTGCTTGAGGTTGAATTTCTGGAATCGGGGCCGGAGGTGGGTAAGGTGGAGGGCTGTCTTCAAGGAGATTAGTCAGAGCTGACTCATCGGGGGGAATTACAGACTTAGATTTGAGGAGAACAGGACAGAGAGACACAGAGGGGGAGGGATCTGTTGGCTGAGGCGCCGAGGGCGCCCGAGAGGAGGGTCTAGGGGGCAGGAAAGGGGCAACCCAAGGAGGGGGGTTGTAGGAGAGGCTTTCCCAGGTAACGATGTACGGGATCTGGTCTGGGTGTCCGTAGGGTCCCGATCTGAAAACCTGCATTTTAACCTGAGAGATAATATTTGGGTCAAAAGTGCCATCTCGTGGCCACCCGACGTCAAAGGTGGGCCACTCAGATGAACAGAAAGCAATCCATTTGTTCTTCTTGACTTCCACCGACTGGTTGGAGGCTCTAGTCTTTACCTCGCGCCAATGATCTAGAGTTAGACTAAGAGGGGTAGTTAATTCCTGTCCCATGGCGAGGGGAGATGAGTATACAATAATACAGATAAGCACAAGACAAAACAAAGACAAACAGCCGGCACACAGAAACGCTGCGCTCCCTCGCCTGGCGAGCCAGACCGAGGGTCTGAAACCAGATGGAGGAGGCACCTCTTCCCCTCCGTACAGATGGACAAATCCCTCGGAAACGTAGTGGGCCCCGAATAGTCGGGCTCCCATACGGTCGCCGAGGAAAGTCGTCCCCGAGCCCCACACAGCGGGCTCCCAGAGCCCCTCGGGCATCCCCGAGGGTGGCGGATAGACTCCTCAGACTCGTCAGTCTTGTCCAGAGCCGCCCAGAATCAGGCCGTGAGTCTCACGCAGAAAAAGAAACCACAAGAATACAGAAACACAGAACAAGGCCCACACTCCCCTGGCCAGCCAACTCACCTCCCAGCGGACTTGGGTTGTCCCCAGCGTTGCACTGAGGGATCTCGGTGGAACCTCCAAATGAAGAATCGCACTCAACACACAGGGACAAAACCAAGTTTCGGGATGCAAAAGCAAGAGGAATTTATTCATACACAGGCGCCTGCGGACGCAGAGTCCCGCTCGGGTCAGGACTTGCGTGCCGGGCTTAGCTTGGGAGGGCCTTTTATAGAGCAGAAGCAGGGTACAGAAGCAGATGCATGGTTACAAGGTTATCATTGGTGCATTTCAAGGGGTACAAGGTATGAGGAAACAGTATTGCTAAATTCAGAGGGGGCTGTGGGTGAAACCGATTGTTATCGCTAACTTCCCGGTAGGGCCTCAATTCAGAGGGGGCTGTGGGTGAAACCGATTGTTATCGCTAACTTCCCAGTAGGGGCTTCAGGGTGGTGTCAGGAGGTCCGACCATAAACGTCCTTTTTTCCACTGCTGGTTTCACAAGACCTGGGTTTGAACTTTGGCTCACCATATGGCTGACTGCAGTTCTTTCTCTAAAATGGCCTTCCTGCTGTCAGTCGGGTCTTTCACAAGTCCATCTGGTTGGGTCTCCATAGCCTTCTTCATCAAGAGGACAGTTGACTCACCACAGTCACAGGACATTTTTAGAAATGCTCATAGTCCCCTGGAACTTAGTCGACCTTGGAGGGCCAGGGGCAAAAACTGTCCTTTAAGTCTCTTGAACACATTAGTATAGGCCTCAAACTATGGCTGTTAAACATCCAATAAGGTTAGTTCAAAATATTCTCAGATAAACTTTGACTAGATATATATTTTGTTTGTTAAACTAGTTGACTAAACTATGACCTTAGAAATTTTAAGATTATGTGTATATTATTTTTGTTTCATCCTTTATGTATCATAACAAACCTACACAGACCTTCATCACTTGCCTAGGCTTTCTCATTTTTTATGTCTGTTTTGGAAAATATCTCCATTCCCATATCCTCTAAACATCTTTTACATTTTCACTTTCTTTTTTAATTTTAATAATTATAAGACATAATAGCATTAACAAATAAATTTTCCATCTATTGTGAGACTTCTTTTCCTGGGGATGCTAAGCAATACTTATTCCCTTTTAAGGTTCTAGTGTTGAGCCAATGTTTGATTGAAATTTTACTGGGGAACCAATGAATTTATTGAGCTTATTTACCAAGATAACTGAGAGGTTGCTGAGGTGTATGTATGACCTGAGGGTATGCACACTGGAAAGCTTTACCCAACGTGGCTCATGCTTCTCTTCCTAGCCTTCCACAGATTGTATACTTCAGCCCTCCCCAAATCCAGGAGGCCATGCGTGATTAGGGCCAAATTACATACAGCTGGCTGGAAAGAGCAGCTGAGTACTCCAGTGAGGGTCCAATGACCCTGCCTGGCCTGCCATTATTGAATGAGCACAACTTTCAGCAAGCCCAATTGTGACTATGTTTGGTGATCAGGCTCAGCTGAAGTCGTGATGATGGTAGTTATTTCATGCAGAAAGGGCTGCTGTATAGCATCATCTTATTAAAAGGACCTGGAATTTAAAAGGATTTGGTGCTACAATTCCCATATGAGGGAAAATATATGTTATTTGTTTTTCTGAGTCTGTGTTACTTCATTTAGTATAACAGTTTCTAGATCCATCCATTTAACTGGAAATGTCATGATTTCATCTTGCTTTACTGCTGAGTAGAACTACATTTGTATAAATAAACCACATTTTCATTATCCACTTGACAGTTGAGTGACACTTAGGATGCTTCAGTCTCTTAGCTATTATGAAAAGAACAGCAACAAAACAAACATGGTTGTACAAGCGTCTCTACAACAGGATGAGTCCTTTGGGTATATGCCAAGGAGTGGTACAACTGGGCCATAGGTAGGTTCATTTTTAGTTTTTTGAGAGTTCTCCACACTGTTCTCCATAGAGGTTGCCCAAGTTTGCAGTCCGACCAGCAGTGAATGAGCGTTCCCCTTTCTCCACATCCTCACCAGCATTTCCTATCATTTGTTCTCTTGATCCTAGGCTATCTGGAGTAAGGTGATATGTTAGGATGGTTTTAATTTGCTTTTCCCTGATTACAAACTATGTTGAACACTTTTTGAGATGTTTCTTAGTCATCTTTATTTCTTCATTTGAGAACTCTCTGTTTAGATCATTAGCCCATCTATTAATTGGGTCACTTGATTTCTCAGTTCTTTGTTTTTTGAGTTCTTTATATATTCTGGATGTTAAACCCCTGTCAGATGTGTCACTGATGAAAATTTTTTCCCATTCTGTGGGTTTTCTCTTCACTTTTTTGATTATTTCTTTTGCTGTACAGAAGCTTTTTAGTTTAATGAGGTCCCACTTATTGATTGCTGACATTAATTTCTCAGCAACTGTTGTCTGATTTAGAAAACCCTTGCCTACACCTATATCTTGTAAGTTACTGTCAATAATTTCTTTTAATAGTTTCAGAGTTTCCAGTTTCACATTGAAGTCTTTGATCCATTTGGAGTTGACTTTTGTGCAAGGTGAAAGATAATGACCTAGTTTCATTCTTCTACAGGTGGAGATCCAGTTTAGCCAGCCCGATTTATTGAAGATGCTGTCTTCTTCCATCGTGTGTTCTTGGCACCTTTGTCAAATATCAGGTGGTTGAAATTGTGTGTACTCGGGTTTGGATCTTCAATGATGTTCCATTGAACGTAGTTTGACCTCTTGCCAGTACCATGCTGTTTTTAAGACTACAGCTCTGTAGTATAATTTGAGATCTGGTATCATAATCCCCCCATCATTGCTCTTTGTGTTCAGGGTTGCCTTAGCTATCTGAGGTCTTTTTTTCTTCCATATGAATTTAAGGATGTTTTTTCTAATCTCTGAATTGTGTCATGGGGATTTTCATTGGGATTGCATTAAATCTATATATTGCTTTTGGTAGGATGGTTATTTTCACAATATTAATTCTTCCAATCCATGAGTATGGGAGGTCCTTCCATCTCCTGGTGTCTTCCTCAATCTCTTTCTTTAATGTTTTAAACTTTTCTTTGTAGAGAACATTGGTGTCTTTGGTCAGATTTATTCCAATTTTTTTTTTCAGCTATTGTGAATGGGAGCATTTCCCTGTATTCTTTCTCCAATTACTTGTTATTGGTTTATAGAAAGATTTATGATTTTGGTAGATTGATTTTATAACTTGCCACTACACTGGAAGTGTTGATCAGTTCTAAGAGTTTTCTGGTGGAACTTTTGGGATCTCTTAGGTATAGTATCATGTCATCTTCAAAAAGTGATAGTTTGGCCTCTTCTTTTCCAATTACTACTCCTTTAATTTCCTTCTCCTGTCTTATTGCTCTAGCAAGAGTTTCAAGCACTATGCTGAAAAGGACTGGAGATAGTGGATATCCTTGTCTGGTTCCTGATTTTAACGGGAATGCTTCCAGTTTTTCTCCATTTAGAATGATGTTGGCTGTGGGTTCGTTGTATATAGCATTAATTATGTTGAGGAATGTTCCCTCTAGTCCAATTCCCTCTAGGACTTTGAACACAAATCCATGCTGAATTTTGTCCAAAGCCTTTTCTGCATCTATTGATATGACAATGTGGTTTTTGTCCTTGAGTCTATTTATAGGATTAATGATGTTTATTGACTTGCATATATTGAACCAGCCCTGCATTTCTGGGATAAAGCCTACTTGATCATGGCGAATGATTCTTTTTGATGTGTGTCTGTATGTGGTTTGCAACTATTCTGTTGTGAATTTTTGCATCTATGTTCATTAAGGATACGGGTCTATATCCTTAATGAGTTTTTTATTTTTCTTTTTTTGGTTGTGTCTTTACCCGCTTTGGGTATTAGAGTGATGCTGGCTACATAGAAGGAATTTGGGAGTTCTCCCTCTGTTATCATTTTGAATAATTTAAGTAGTATTGGTTGGAGGTCTTCTTTAAATGTCTGCTAGAATTCTGCTGTAAATCCACCTGAGCCTTGGTTTTTCTTAGTTGGGAGGCTTTGTAGTGCAGTTTCAATTTCCCTATGTGTTATGGGTCTGTTTAAACTGTTGATCTCTTCTTGGTTTTTATTTGGTGGTTCCCATGATTTTAATATCCATCCATTTCTTTTAGATTTTCAAATTTGGTAGTGTATAGGTTTTTAAAATATTCCCTTATAATGGTCTGGATCTCTTTGGTGTCTGTTGTGATGTTTCCCCTTTCATCTCTGATTTTGTTGATTTGAATTTGCTCTTTCTTTCTTTTGCTTAACTGGGTTAAGAGTCTATCTTGTTTAGCTTTTCAAGGAAACAGCTCTTAGATTCATTGATTCTTTTTACTGTTTTCTTCATTTCTATTTCATTAGTTTCTGCTCTGATTTTTGTTATTTCTTCTCTTCTGCTGGGTTTGGGTTTCATTTTTTTCTTCCCTTTCCAGTGTCTTGAGTTGCAATGTTAGGTCATTTATTTGGGCTCTTTCCAATTTTTTAATGTAGGTGCTTAGAACTATAAACTTCCCTCTTAGGACTGCTTTTAAAGTGTCCCAGAGGTTGTGTTGTGTTGTATTGTCCTCTTCATTGAATTCCAGGAATTCCTTTCTTTCTTTCTTAATTTCTCCTGTGACCCACTCGTTGTTTAGCAGTGTGTTGTTCAATTGCCACAAGTTTGATTAGCGACTAGGGCTTTGTCCAGTGTTGATTTTGAGCTTTATTGTGTTGTGGTCTGATAGAATGCATGGGATTATTTCAATTATTTTGTGTTTGTTGAGGTTTGTTTTGTGGCCTAGTACATCATCAATTTTTGATAAAGTGCCATGGAGTGCTGAGTAGAAAGTGTATTCTTTGGTGCTTGGGTGGAAT